TGTCCAAGTAGGAAAAAACGTCCCTCATAAAAAAAGATTAAAAAGCCGAGGAAATTGCTGCTGCCCATTAGTTGATTTAAGCTAATGGTGTAAAGTAGCCATTAGTTCAACTAATGGTAATGGACCTTCTGATGAGTGATTTAGTGAAAGTGTCCCAGATGCTTGCATTCTGCAAAAGGCTCAGAAGAGGTTCAAAAAAAAGTGTTTATTTTCTGAATTGATGGTGAACAGATCTTTGAAGCAAAAGCAAAAATAAAGATACTCTTTAACGACGATAAATAATAAATTATTCTTAAAATCTCTAATATGCTGTGTCTTATAAAATGATTTACTAACAATAATATTGGCAAGTGCGTATAGCGTGTATTATATGCCAGGCACAGCGTAAAGTATTGGACATATAGTATTTCATCTAACCTTCGTATCAATTCTATGAAGTAACCACCATTATCACCTTTGTACATGAGAAGAAACTGAAAATAAAGAGATGCAGTGACTTGGCCAGCATCACACAAGTAATTAGTGGCCAAGCTGAGTGTTAAGCCAGGTGAAGTGGCATTTCTGTGTTTGCCCCCTTTGCTGTTAAGAAGCTTAACCTTCACCACAGAAGCCATTAAATGAGGGAGCTGGGGTGGGGGGGGAAGGTAAATCAATGCTCTATCTGAGGCATTTTCATACAAGCTTGTTATATAATTTAATAAGTTAAGGCATTAAGCATTAACATCTTTTCCTTTCCTAGGATATTTTCCCAGTGGCTTTTGCCAGTCATGCTGGGATTATATAATGCCTTAACAATCAACTGAAAATTTGAAGAAAAAAACAGACCCCCAACCAATTGGCTTTTTAATTGGGTTAAACAACTATTAAATACTTAAATAATCATCTGCTTTGAGTGCTATTATGGTCTACTTTGAGAATGGCACAAAGTCCAATCCCCCCAAAAAAAAAAAAGTTTCATATGAGACTTCTGGTAGAGCATGGTGCCAGTTCAATGATTGAAATGTTTCTCTTATTTTACATCTGTCTGAATCCAAGCAACACGTGCCCTCTATGCATGCGTTAGAAGGACATCTGGTTTATGTCTCACCACATTAATATAAAATGACTCTGAGTTTTGGTCATGTTACAGAAATTCTGTGACTTGAATTTTGAGTCTCGAAGATTTTGAGGGAGTGGAGAACATTGGAAGGATTCCGTTTTTTCATGATATTTCCACTAAAATGGGACCGATTGCTTCTGCAAATGACCTAAGTGAGACGTTTAGCTTCTTGACATCGTATATATATGCGTATTCATTTTCTATCCATCAAAGACTAGACTCAAAAGTATCATTCAGATATACCACCCACCAAGAAAGTAAATCTCCACAGAGTTTTCCATAAAGACAAATGCCTCCCATGCAAATTCCCATCTGGATTTCCCTTAAAGTTAAAGCAATCAGTTGATAAAAGAAAAATATGAAACTATGTCACCCTTCTGAGGTTAATGCACAGGCTAATGTGTAAGTCCTTTTATATCTATCACAAATATAGTAGAGATGCAGATTTTAAATTAGAAAGTAAACGTGCAGGCTAAAAAAAGATAAACTGAAAAGTGCATTTAGTTCATTTAAAGAGCATCATTAGACATGTACCATATACTGTAATAAAAGTATATCATTGTTTTCCACAAAAAGATTTTCTGTTTGAAAAATGGCAGAGCATAAAATGCAAATTTCAAAACATTTATGCCTGAAAGCATGATACATGTCCCTGGCGAAGGCGACAGAAGAATTTCTGTACGTCAAATTAGTGACAGATTAGTTCCATAAACATTTTAATCCTCTGACAAGATTGCTCCTAGTTACATACACCAAAATAAGTGAAAGCAGGCATTCAAACAGAAATTTGTGCAGTGTTCATAACAGCAGTACTTACAATAGCCAAAAGGTAGAAGCAATCCAAATGCCCAATAGATGATGAATGGATAAACAAAAGTGGTAGATCCCCGTAATGGAGTATTATTCGGTTATAAGAAGGAATGAAATACTGATACATGTTACAACCTGAATGCACCTTGAAAAAGATCATGTGGAATGGGAGCAACCAGTCACAAAAGGTCACCTATTGAATAACTGCATTTCTCTGAAGTGTCCAGAATAGGAAAATCTGTAGGGATAAAAGTTCCATGGTTACCAGAGCCTGGGAGAAAGAGTATATGGAGAGTGATGATTAATGGATATGAGGTTTCTATTGGGGCTGATGAAAATGCTCTGATATTAGGTAGTGGTGATCACTGCACAAATCTTTAATATATCATATATTACATATACTAAATATGGATAAAGTAATACACAAATTTTATACTGTAAGTAGGTGAATTTGATGGTGTGTGAAATATATGTAAATAAAGCTATTATTTAAAATGTGGCACACAGGGGCGCCTGGGTGGCTCAGTCAGTTAAGCACCTGACTTCGGCTCAGGTCATGATCTCACTGTTCATGAGTTCGAGCTGTCAGCGCAGACCTTGCTTTGGATCCTCTGTCTCCCCCTCTTTCTGCCCCTCCCCTGCTCATGTGCGCTCTCTCTCTCTCTCTCTCTCTCTCTCTCTCTCTCAGATAAACATTTTTTAAAAAAAAACAAAAAATAAAGTGTAGCATACATAAATATTTCCACCTGATTCTTTATAATCCTTATATTCTTGAATAACCTATATCCCTCTTTACCGCCATATGTTTGCATCCCTCCTGCAAAGGAGCAGATAAGTTTAAACTACAGTATCTTCAAAGAAAGCATTGTAACATCCTAACATGAAAGCATTAACCATATAACCATCCCGATGCATCAGGTGTATAATAGTATGCCAGTTAAGGGCTATCCATTGTTCTGAATAGATGGTCTACAGCTCCAAGTCACCCAAGAAAGAGGTCCTCAAAGGAGAGTTCAAAAACCATCGACTGAAGAGACAGATGTAAAACGCAGGAGTCCTGACTGCCTAATGTGTTTTATACCTCCAGGGATATTGAAAGAGAGGTTTTACTTTTACCCTCAGCAATTTAAAAGACCTTGTTAAGGTACAGTCTCCATAGAAACCTCAACTTCACACTCTGCTCTCAGCCTCTGTGCCTTGGAAGAATATCCTCTTAGACACATGCTAATGTTGTCCATGGGATGAATGGCTTTTCCTATGTTGTGAAAAGATTCTTGAATCACAGCAAACTCTTTATTCTTGTTCTCAAGACACAAGTTTTAAAAGAAAACTTTTAATTTGAGCAGTAAAGAATCTGTATATTTTCTGAGCGGGAACGATTTGTTTTGTTTTGTTTTCTAATTAAAACTATGAACATCTAAGCATCAGCACAGTGTGGTTGGTACTTAGATGTCAGAGTATCAGAGTTATAATCCTCATTATCGTTAGAAAAAAACTCAGCAGAGGCTCTCAAACCTCCTCAGCCTCAGTTTTCTGTCTGTGAAACCGAGGAGTTGAACTTGAAGTTTTCTTAGATTCTTCATCCATTAAATATTTTATGTCCCTGCAAATTAAAAAAAAAAAAAAAAAAAACAATGAAAAACAAAAAACTCAAATTCTGGACCATTCTGGCACTAGAGTGTAATATCCCAGTGTTAAATGGACCAGAGCACTGGAACAAGGCCTTGCCTACATAAGACTTCTATCCGTGTCATCAGGACTGCAAAGGTCTGGTTGTATGGAATATGTCAGGCTTCCCCCGAAGTTTCTCTTCCATCCATAAGGGTCGAGACAGACGACACACACCTCCTCTTCCAGCAGAGATTACAAGTGGAAAAGGGCTCTTCTCCTGTAGACCTCATAGCCCTTATCAGGGATAAAGAGAGAGAGCTCCTGAAATGCACTGTTCTATCACTAACTAGACACACTCTGCCTTGATTCTGGATAACCAAACTCATTGTGCCTTTTTTTCCCTCCTTGCTAGTCAACACTAAAAGCCCTAGACTGTCATTCCTCATCCATCTTCCAGTCCCCAGCCCTGTGAGACCACATGGTCCCTTTTCTTTTTCCTTTTCCCGACCTCTCTCCACCTCTAACTCCAGAAGCCCTTCCACTGTGCCCTTCAAAGCTCATCATCCATTATTAGCAAAGTCCTGCATGTTGTCAGCCTCGTTCCTAAATGTTCCTTTCACCTTCTTTGTAGAACAAAAGCCCAAATCTCATGAAGATACTGCTTCCCCGTAACACTTTCAAGAAACACTTTCTCCTACCGTCCTTGTACTGTTCAACTTGGAGATGGGGTACAAACCTTTCTTCTTCCTCCTTTCCACTTTTAGACCATTCTCCTTCTCTTTTCTCCGAAACCTGCCAGCTTTGAAGATCATGTCATAAGAGGATAACACTTGTAACTCTTCATTTTTGCTGTCACTGCTGGACCCTTCTTTACCCTACACATCTCAGTGTCTCTAGTTCCTACATCACTATCATCCTCCCTTAGGATTGAGATTCTCTCCTGACTTAATTCTCGGAAATTTCGATTTATAACCCCCTGGTCTCTCAGCCTTTTGATCTTCCGTCCACAGCGACCACACCCACCCACTGGGTCGCATCCAGTCCCTCCCATGGTGATATCCTAGGTCTGTCTTTACCAGTAACTACAGAACGGGACAGCGGGTTCTGCTCAGCCCTCAGTCTGCAGCCCCCATTAAATGAGGATTGAGCAACTCTGGTCATCAGTAAAAACCTTACAGCAACACCAGGGAATAAATGCCCAGGAACTTGCAGACACTAATCTGGCCAAACGACTTCTACTTGAAAAGTAAAAGATGGAGGGCCTTTTTGTTCCACATGAAGGAGCCCACGTGAAAATGAATATCAATGCCTATTTGTATTATTTACACCACTGTTCTCTTAAGATAATAAAATACATGACTGTAGTATCTACCCACATTTTCCACAGGGTCACTTAAAGAAATCAGCAACCAAAAATAAGTAAGTAAATAAACAAATAAGGCAGAAGGAATACGAGATCCCAATGTAAACAAATAAAAATAAATAAAGGTTGCAGCTTCCCTAGTAAAGTCAACTCCAGAACATTGTGCTTTAGATTTACTTTTGTAAACAGTCTATATGGCATTGACTTAGTGTGCTACCCTAAGGTAAAGTTATGATTTTTTTTTTAGCTTAGTTTAATTTCAATTCTGAATGCAAGTCATTATCAAAATGCAAGGGATTTCGTTTACCCAGGCAAAAGAGCACTATTCACTAATTACAGACTTGATGTTAAATTAGATCCTCTTTCTCTGCAGCAGCAAAGTAATCAGATGAGAATCCCTTGCCTCTATTAAACATTTACATTAGAACTGCCTCGTTACTCCAGGATTTGTTTGGGTAGCACTATCAGAGGTTCTGAAAGGCTGTGGAAAACGCACTTGGTATTTCGTAGGAGATAGGTACCCACTTAGGGCAATCCTGACGTTACAGCAGGGTACGTGAGTGCACGGGTAGATCAAGAAACGTACCAGGTGCTTCTCAATGTAATTCAGCACAGTGGATCATCTGAGTACCCATAATGAAGGTGTTTATTCTCCATCTGCCTCAGGAAAATATTGCAAAGGGCGTTCAGTAATCTTTGATACATCCACAATTAACTGTTATGGAAACAGAAGGTTATTTAAATTATTATAATCTGAGTTTTAATCTCATTTTAAAAAGCAAGAAATCCATTTAGGTTTCCATCGTGCCCGCTGACAGTACATTTTCTAAGACTTCTTTATACAACACAAGGCATGAGATTTGAGAGACTATGAGGTTTTTTGCTTGCTTTAAACCCTGGTGGTTCACAGTTGAGTGGGTGGCACCCTGCCAGCCATTTCTGCTTAACAAAGGAGTGAACATAGCCCAGCTCTGTTTTCTGTATTCCATCCCATGGATGGAATTCCATCCCATGGATGGGCATACTTGAAGGGGTAATTGTGGGCCAGACAAGCGACAGATGGCATGTTTGCACCAATGAGATGTGCTCGTGCAGGAGGTTCCTTCCTCACAGTCAGACCCAGGAAATGGGTCACGGCTCCATCTACATATGAGATTGCTCCAGGAGTACAGACAGACGTAGGGCACAGTTGCTCAGATGGACTGGCTTGGCATTAACTCTGAGTTTGGCAAAGGTCAGGGATGACCCACATTTGACTTACCATAGTTCTGAGTAATCACTGGACATTTCCTTTCTCTAGGAGATGTCCCAGAACCTTATTAAAACTATTTCCCACTGGACCCAAGAACGCCCAGCACTGACTTCCGTTGTTTGAAGTCAGATTACTCCTGAAAAAAGAAAAATTAAGTTGATTTCTGGAAGGATGAAATCCTCCCTTACAAGTAGTTTTGGGGGAAATCTGAGAATGGAATCCTGCTTTGCTTCCAACTCCCCCGACTGTTTTGTTGGCTTTCTACTACAATCCCTCCCATCCTCTGACCTGCTGTATCTCTTCCCTTCCTACCCGACCTGCATACTGTTCTCCTGATTTTATAGGTAAGAAAGAAAAAATTCCTTAAAGACAGCAACTGGTATTAGTTACCATCATATCCCCAGTATCTAGCACAATGCCAATAATATAATAGATGCCTAATAAATGCCTATTGAATAAATTTTGAAAGGCTTATAGGATGATGAGAAAATAAGAATTAGGACTGTCTGTGTGGCATAATGTATATCCCCAAAAGAGAGAAGGCATGTTTAGACAAAAACTCCATGTGTTAGATTGTTCTAATGATGGTCCCCAATGAATCATACTTCTTCCATGACCACACTCCTTTGCGACATCGTTGTAGCTGCTCTTCCTGTCAAAAGGTAGAGTGTATTTCTCCATCACCCCCTCCTTGAATCTGGCTTTGTAAGTTTTTGACCAATAGAGCATAAGGTAAGATACATTCTGTCAATTACGAAGTGGAGTCCTTAAAACATTTGGCAAATTCTGATCCTGCTTTCTTGGAAGACTGAAGCCAATATATTGGGAAGAATCTGGGTGTAGCCTATTAGGGCACGAGCGGCCATATGGAAGAGAACCAAGCCGCCCTAGTCAACAGCCATCGCCACTGCCAGACATGTGAGTGAGGCCCCAGTCAAGCCACTCACAATCAGAAAAGGAACCACCTATGTTGCACAGCAGCAAAATCATGAGAAATAATCAGTGGTGCTCTCCTGGGAGTCAGTTGTCCAGCAACAGATCGCTGAAAGACTCCATGCTGGCCAGGCTGTAAGTACCTCTCCTCCCACCACCAATGCTTGAACCCTGTGCTGCTCTCTCACAAGACTACAGCTACTCTCTGGGGCACCTGGGTGGCTCAGTCGGTTAAGCGTCCGACCTCGGCTCAGGTCATGATCTCACGGTTCGTGAGTTGGAGCCCTGCATTTTTCTCTGTGCGGACGGCTTGGAGCCTGGAGCCTGCTTCAGGCTGTGTCTCCCTCTGTCTCTGTTCCTCCCCTGCTTGCTCTCTCTCTCTCTCTCTCTCTGTCTCTCTCAAAAATAAATAAAGATTAAAGACTATAGCTACTCTCTCAGGCTCAGGGTATTTCTCAGGCTTCCCCAGCCAGCCACTGCTCAGAAGCCACTTGCTTTAATCCATTTTCCTAAGCGTCTATATCTTTGCCTCATACCTGGATCTCCCCTTTTTTCTAGCTCCCTCTGACAAATAGGTTGGTTGGGTGGTCTATTTGATTTTCATTTGAAATTCTTCCCCATGAACCTACTAGTTTGTTCACCCACCTTGGGTTGATGCAGTACAGCCCACAGAGGACCAACCTTCTTCACATCCACCCATTTCTCATTGAATCTGACCAGATTCCTGGGACACACAATGCCCAGGACTACTGCTTCTTTGGACCAGTAGTTCAACTGGGGATATTTTAAAGAAAAAACAAATGTGGAAAATGATAATTCACATAATGGAAAAATATTATGGAACATTATCTTGAACACAAAGCTATTCCCTCTCTCTGTATTCCATTAGGGCTTTTACTATTTGTAGTAAGTTCTTAGACTTCATATCCGCAAAGTCTCTACAGTGACTTCCAGGAAGCTCTTAACCAATTCATTTCATTGTCATTTATTATCCCAGGAGTATCCGTGTCTGTTTTCTTGGTTCTGTGTGCTCTTTGCAAGGTGAATGTCCTTTCACCTGGGTCTAGAGTCTTCTTCTGTGGGCACAATCTTTTCTCATTAATTTTCTATATACTTTGGAAATATTAGTCATTTCAAGTTCTTTTTTAGTGGGAACTTTCATTATCTGGTTGGGGTCCCAGATAAAAATGGCAATGAAACCCTTCCAGAATTCCAAAGTTCCAGAGTTAGTGTGACCACTAAGCTGCCCCAGGGGGCTGCTGTCACGTGGGTTTCTGTTTCTCAGTCATGATCACTGCACCTGCAGAGTTAGCCACTGTGCCCATGGCAGTCTGCCATGGCAAATGGCAGCAGATTTCACTCTTCTGCTCTTCCCTGGTCACCAGCGTCCTCTCCAGGCCATGGCCTCCCTCCTGAATATTCACCTGCATACAAGATCAAGATTTAGGCTCTGAACTGAACATTAGCCTTTCCATTTAGTCTTACCTATTGACTGCCACTCTCCAGAAGTGACAGAGGCTGAAAGCTTTCTTAGAAAAAAAAAAAAAAGTGAGTCACTCAGCGGCAATGATCTTCCTTTAGAGACATCATACCTCTGTGTCAACAACAAAGGACAGGGCATGGCTCAATGTCCACCAAATTTAAGTGCATCTGGTAGAGTGCATATTGCTTTTTAATTTAAATTTTAACATTTTATATCATAACGTTAATGTAAAATAATTCTTAGGAAGGCACTAGCATGGATATGCCACAGGGATGGTTCAAGTATAACCTTATATTTACTTGGCTCTAGAATTTTGATGTTCTGTGAAAAGAGTATTTCTGATCATTTTAAAATGAGGGCCACATAGGGGCACCTGGGTGGCTCGGCCGGTTGAGTGTCCGACTTCAGCTCAGGTCTGATCTTGCAGCTCATGAGTTCAAGCCCTACATTGGGCTCTCTGCTCTCAGTGCAGAGCCCGCTTCGGGTCCTCTGTCTCCCTCTCTCTCTGCCCCTTCCCTTCTCCCTCTCCTCCTCTCCCCCACCCCCGCCACCTCCCTTCCCCTTTCCCCTGCACGCTCTACCAAAAATAAATAAATATTACCCAAAAAATATTTGTTTCATAAATAAATAAAATGAGAGCCACATAGAAGAGGAATAGGTGGGAGAAAATAAAAGAGCAGTTTCTGCCCTTCTCACCATCCCAAGACCAAACCAGAGGAAGATGCCATGATCTGTAGCCTGTCTGATGCCCACATTTGATCAGACCTCCTATAAGGAGGGGACACTGAGAAAATGTACTAGAGAAAGTGCAGCAAAAAGTCCCACCTAAACAGACAGACACGGAGCATCTGTCCCCAGAGCAAGGGCTCCCATCCTCAGGGATTTTGACATTTGCTGGGGAACCAAGGGTGTGGTAGAGTGAAAACTGCATGCATTTTAGATCGGACAGATTTGGAGGCCTAATCCAGACTTTGCTGCTATCTCACTTCCCATTCGGGGCCGTGTCCTCATATTTACAGTGTTGCCTTGCAGTGTGTTGTGAGAATGAGGATAAAAATGTAAGTAAAGTATGACATACGGGAGATGTTATTGCATCTATAAATAATACTATGAACTAATCAGGTTGCAGTGAATGTAATTCACAAAACTAAGATACATCCTTTAATGATTTCTCTATAGCTTTTTTCTTTTTTTTAGTTCTTTCAGGCTGCTGGGATATTTTTCTATCATACCTGCTTACCCAGCTTAGTTTATCAAAAAAGAAGTAGCCCAAACAAACTACACCATTATGTCACTCCAAAGCCCACTTCCATGAAAAAGCACCTGAATTCCTTGTTCTCCAAGATTCCACTTTGTTCACAATAGTGCCCCAAGGACCCCAAGCCTCCATACCCAGGGTCCACAACTAAAGATGCATTAAGGACCAGACTATTCTGTGCTAAAACTACACCCAGGGATCACTATGACCCCAGATTCTGAAGACTATTCCAGAGCCTTCCCGAATGTCTGCAGCTGAAATCATAACAATGGCATTAACAACCACCACTGCATACTGAGTGCTCTGTGTCAGGCATTGTAGTAAACGTTCTATGTTCACCGTCAACTCTTATCCTCATAATAACTTATGAAGTATTATTACCCCCATTTTACAGACAGATCATTTAAGGCTTAGACGGGCTAAACCACCCAAGATCACACGACTGGATAGCGTTAGAGCCAGGATTCAAATCCAGGCTTTTCATGCACATTATATGTGTGTTTCAAACTTTTTCCTCAGCAGCAAATGCTTTTTATCTGAATATTACTCAGATCTCTAATAAATAAACCTTGCAGACCCAGTTGGTGTTGGTTTAACTAGTGCATGGATGCTAAGAGATCCCCACAGAGCCCTGAGGTCTGTGGAACAAAGTGAAAATCATTCACGCACTAAGCTGCCTGCAAATGGTGTGCAGGAAAATACTTTGAGGAGAATCGAGTACCACAAAGTTCGTCAGGACAAATCTGAAGGAATGGAAACGGAAGTGCTGCCATGTTGGGAAGCCGGGTAGCCTGGATGGTCTCCCTGCTGTTCGCCTGCTCCCCTCCCCTCCATTGCTCCATTTCTACTGATAGCAGAAGACCCCTTCACATAGCTTCCGAAGAGAGAAAAAAAAAAGTGTGGGTCATCCACCTTCCCCTAGTTTGGCTACTGGAGAAGAGACTGTCAAAGAGAGTATCAGGAGTAAGAAATTCTCCCAAAGAGTCGTTTTGGCGTTGGCTGGGTACCTACACATGCCCCTCCCCCAGGGTCCCTGTGACGGTCCGTCCCAGCAGAATCACCGCTCAGGAATGGGCCGGCGTGTCCCGCCCCTCACCTGCGTTTTTTCAACTTTGCAGGTGCAGCACCAACGTCATACCGACTCTGTTCACGCCAACCTGGGTGGACACTGCTAATCTTTTACTTGACACCTGTCACCCACGTGTCTGGGCAGAGTCTATTTCAACTTCTGCTCCCACTTCCGTTGCTTTTCTCAACGTCGGCCTCATGGACTTTAATGTGGGAAATGGTCATTTTCTCAAAAGCTGGAATTTTCAGATTACCTTTGAGAACTGTCGGTTACTGAAAGAGGCTTTGATTCTCAGCGCGGGCCCAGAGGAGTTAGCTCTGTTTATTTGATGAACGCATAAAAAGGCCCTTCTCCATGGTCTGTTAATTAGATATGTTGTGGTGGTTACTTTATCGAACTGGGTTGGCACTCACCGTTCTCAGTCTAGGGAAGCTGCTGCCCCTTCATCCTGTGAGTGACAGTCTTTGGAAAACAGTGATTAAAAGGTGCAAGCTCTAGTAGTTCATGTGCACACTTGTAATTTTTTTATAATTGCTTTCTTACGGTGATCTAAACAAATTACAGGTAAGAGAGGTACAGCTTTGCAGAGAAAAGAATCAGGAATGAGTTCACAGTCATGCCTCATGCAATACATACATTATAACCCCCTTCTCTAGTATTCCCCCCGCTAAAGCCAGCAAATGCCAATGTTTCAGATTTACTCAAACTGGAAGATGTAGAGAGGAAATATGTGCAAACACAAGATACACAAATTTTAAAATTCTACTCTTTATCAGTGGCATACAGTTTAAGATAGACTGTCTCTGGCTCATTACTAGGGTCTTTTTCTTAACTTTTAAGCAATTATCTCCTGGGAAATATCAGGATTCATTTAAAAATCTTTTTCCTGTACCCTAGCTGAGAATCCTTCCAAGACGTTCTGCTCTGCCTACCTGTAATCCACCTCTGCTCTGCAAACAACCGTGACTGCTGGCTTGAAAAATAAGCACCAACTTGGATTCTAAAGTAGCCAAGTGATTTCTTCATCAAGAAACATAAACTGAAAAGGGAAATATCAAACCCATTAAAATTGAACAGAACTTTAAAAATATTATTTTACTTATAGAAAGGAAAAATTCTGCGTTGGAGTAAGAGAACTATTTTAGCAAGATGAATATATGTATATATTTGCAAAGAATTTAGTAGAACCCTAAAATAAGAATCCAGAGGCAAGTATTCCTATCGAGAATTTACTATACATTTCACATAGGATCTTTGCCATACTTTAACATATGGGTCTCCTATCACATTTAAAAAATTACTTGAGACATAAAATTGAAGATAAAATATATTTGCATCTACATGAATTCTAGAAAGAACAAATCTAATCCACAGTGCTGGCAAGCAGGTCAGTGATTGCCTGGGTAGGGGAATGGGGGTAGGGAATAGTTGAGGAGGAGCCCAAGTGCATTTGGAGGGTGATAAATGTTCTATGTCTTGACTGCAGGGGAGTAGTTTCATGGGTACATACATTGGTCAAAACCCACTGAATCATTCACTTAAAATGTGATTTTTTTTATTGAATATACATTACCTTCCATAAACATGAAAAAAAAAAACCCAAAGGGATGCACATTTCAAACATATACACTTAATATATAATAAATACAACAAAATATATATTATATATATTCAATGTATAGTTTTATCTTGTTGTATTTATTATATATTTCTTTAAAAACATATATATATAGATATATAGATATAGATATGTATATTTAAACCAAGGATATCTCTAACTTAATTTTGAAAACCATATATAAAAATCTTCCTATGTCCCCAAATTCTTCCTATTTATTGTTTTCATGTCTTTATCTTTTTCTGCCATGCTCCATTACTGACCTCTACTGAGCATTAAGTGGATTTTACAAGAAAATTTATTATAAATCCTTCATAGGTATCCTTTCTACCAGTTATACTGGTTACTGTTTCTCAGCAATACTTATATTTAACAAAACTATTGCATCTAACTGATATATTTCCATGAGAATGGCTGGTGGAGCTATCTGCAGGGTCAGAATCATCATATGCCCACTGGAGGGGCTCAGTGGACTTAAAACCTACTTGCCATGGGCTGCGGTCTACTGAAATCATTCTCTCATCTTTTTCCAATGAGCTTTAAATTGTTTTATTATACTTTTAAAATATATCTCCTGTCTTCAAAAATACCGGATCTGTATTAGTTTCCTATTGCTGTTGTAACAAATTACCACAACGTTGATGGCTCAAAACATTTATAGTTCTGGAGGTCAGAGGTCAGAAATGATTTCACAGGGCTAAAATCCACACGTTGGCAGGGCCATCTTCCTTTGTGGAAGCTCTAGGGGAGAATCTGTCTTTGCCTTCTCCAACTTCTAGAGGCCATCTGGCTTATGGCCCCTGTTCAAAGTGCCCCACTCCAACCTCTGCTTCCACGACCGCACCTCCCACTCTGACATTCCCACCTGGCTCTTATAAGGACCCGTGTGATTGCACTGGGCCCATCTAGATAATCCAGAATGATCACCCTGTCTCAAGATCCTTAACTTAATCACATCTGCAAAGTCCCTTTCTCTATGGAAGGTAACATACTCAC